GTCAAAGGGGGATCGAGGAGATCATATCACCTAAGGAGAGAGTGGGGAGTCACAGCGGCTCGAGTGGGTGTGTGCACGTGACAACGAGGCTAAGTGTTGGAGCCGCATCCCCTAAACGTGTGACGTCGAGCCCCTCTCCAAGAGCCAGAAACGCCTAGTGTGATCTCCTATGGAGGTAAAAGCACTCTGCCGAGTTGTGGGTTGGGTTGTCCGTAGAGAAGGATCAACGACAGCAACACCAACAACCCACAGTCTATAATACAACACACTGGCAGAGGTCTCCAGCAACACACTGACAGAGGTCTCTAGCAACACACTGACCGAGGTCTCCAGCAACACACTGACAGAGGTCTCTAGCAACACACTGACCGAGGTCTCCAGCAACACACTGGCAGGGGTCTCCAGCAACACACTGGCAGGGGTCTCCAGCAACACACTGGCAGAGGTCTCTAGCAATACACTGGCAGAGGTCTCCAGCAACACACTGGCAGAGGTCTCCAGTAACACACTGACAGAGGTCTCCAGCAACACACTGGCAAGGGTCTCCAGCAACACACTGACAGAGGTCTCTAGCAACACACTGGCAGAGGTCTCCAGCAACACACTGACCGAGGTCTCCAGCAACACATTAACAGAGGTCTCCAGCAACACACTAGCAGAGGTCTCCAGCAACACACGTGCAGAGGTCTCTACCAAATCACTAACAGAGGTTTCCAGCAACACACTGGCAGAGGTCTCCAGCAACACACGTGCAGAGGTCTCTACCAAATCACTAACAGAGGTTTCCAGCAACACACTGACAGAGGTCTCCAGCAACAGACTGGCCGAGGTCTCCAGCAACACACTGGCCGAGGTCTCCAGCAACACACTGGCTGAGGTCTCCAGCAACATTCTGCCAGGCTTCCACACAGTCTAATAACAAGCTTTAACTCACAGACAGTACTTCCATCTCGTAATTCAACTTGGCCATCCCGGGGTACGTCGGTCCAATCACCAATACTTCACTAAGTATTACAGACAAATCACTGTTTACACAGACTCGGCCACTTGTTCCAGCTGGAACACGTCTTCAGTTCATGACTGCCCTGAGTGAACTACTTCCTGACGACGACAATGCAACCCACATCACTTCTGCGAATTATAAATGTAATTAGTAAGAGCGAAACTACACTGGGATCAAATAACATCACAGCCATATTGTGGAAGCTGTTGGTGATCGCTCCCACCAACAGTATGCTTCTAGGAGGGCACCTCTGGGCTCGAGCGCCATTGAGATAGTCCTTGAAGAAAAGCTGAACGAGCTGAGAAGGATGGAGGGAAGAATAGGGGCTTTGGATGCCCACGGTGCTTTGTACCTTCTCACAAGGTGCCTGGCTTTGCCCATTTCCTATGGTGTGCTCTCTCCTTTGACAGTCCAAAATTACCAGATTATGACACACTCCTAAAATCAATAACCATGAAATTGCTAAACCTCTCTCTCTGCAAGATGACCAATGGGACCAAGCAACACTCCCAGTTAGACTCGGGGGTATAGGTATTCGCATGGCGACACAGTTAGCATAACCGGCTTTCTTATCCTCGACCAGTGCTACAGGTGAATTAGTGAATGAAATACTACCAGAATAGCTAAGAGACTCCATTGGGATTCATGATCCCAAATTCGAGGAAGGACCCGGCCAGTGGGACAATCTTGCCAACCCTTTCCCTCGATCAACTTTTCCAAACGATTGCAAACAGACCAAATGGGACAGCCCATTAGTGGATAATATTGCCACAGCATGGCTGGAGGCAGCATCTGGGAAGGACAAAGAGCATTTCCTAGCTGTACAAGCTCACCATGCCAGGGACTTCCTATTGGCTGTCCCTAATTGCGCCTCAAGCACCCGCCTGGACCATCGGACCTTAAGTATTAATGTTGCCTTGTGACTTGCCGCCCCTATCTCCTCTGAACACCGGGGTATTTGCGGCTATGCGCGGGCGGACCAACATGGCAGCCATGGTCTCATCAGTCGTAAGTCACCGGGAAAGATGGCCAGACATGATGCAATCAATGGAATCATCAAGAGAAGTTTGGCTACAGCTGGGCGTCCAGCACAAAGGGAACCTCAGTTGTGCAGACCTGACAACAGTAACAAACACCCAGACGGAGTCACCCCTGATACCATGGAGGGATTGTAAGCAGGTCTTGTGGGACTACACGTATGCATCTACATTGACAGATACATATCTATCTCGCTGTACAGCTGAGGGAGGTGGGGCGACCACCTTCAGGGAGACCCAGAAAACTAACATGTACAAGGCCCAAGAACGTTGTTACAGGTTCGTGCCGATAGGCTCTGAAACCCTGGGCGCCTGGGTTAAATGTGCACTTAAGTTCCTAAAGGAGTCCCTTTAGATCAGGGCCTAGTCCGTGATCACAATCAGGTAACTCCTGTGTTCCAGGATCTTTATGATGTAACTCCTGTGTTCAGGACCATTATTGTTGTAATCCTAGTGTTCAGGATTAATGATTATTGTATGACACGGTAGACTGATTCGTGATTTATTTCTAGTTTGTAGTGCCTATTTGAAGTGAATGTTCCGGTATCCTTTGTTTGAAGACGCTTTGATGACTTGTGTCTCTGCGTATGATTCAGCTTGCAGTCCTATGTAAATACTTAGTAAATACATTCCCTTAGTAAATACTAAGGTTCCATACTTGCAATGCTGCACGACAGAGGTAAGTGTATATGTTAGTTGCAGGTGGTCATTGCTAATCTAGTATATTCTCATTTTGGTAAAATAATTTTTGTAGAAAGTGTCTTATAAATCTATAAAAAATAAAAATGGAAATGTCGTTGGTTCAAAATCGCTAATCTTCGAAAGTTCTTCACCGATTGCTTTGAAATTTTCACACAACGTTCCATTCACATCCGAGCGGATTTTTATGTCCATACTTTTTAGATGTCACGTCTGTGACCGGGAAAAAACATGCTTTTTTGAAAAACTGTGTTTTTTCATGTATTTTTCATATGAGGGAAATCTTCGAAATCTCTTTAACGATGGCTTTGAAATTTTGATATAACGTTGCATTCAAATAGGCGCGTGTTTTTATATATGTACTATATACATACCTCACCTGTGACAGGAAAAAACATGGTTTTTTTTAACCAGCGCCAACTGTTGGATGTAAAAGCAACACATGCTGTACTGTCTGAAAGTTCTTCAAGGATCGCTTTGAAAGTTTACCACAACGTTCCATTCGAATAAAATACGTGTTTTTATATACCTACTATATAGATGCCACACTCGTGACAGGTAAAAATATGCTATTTTTGAAAAACAGCGCCATCTGTTGCACGTAATAGCAACACACACTATACTAAATGAGTTACGATCCCATTTCAATGTTTCCAATTGCACTGCTAAAATGAATTTTCATAGATTTCGATACATTTTCATTTTGATTTAATAATTTTGTATGACATTGCTTTGGAATTGAGCTGTGTTGTTTACCATACCATTCATTTCGTAAGTATAAATATAGATGCCACACCTGTGACAGCTAAAATCATTCTTTTTTTTAAGAATCAACATCATCTGTTGCACATAAGAGCAACACACGCTATACTAAATATGTTACGATTTCAGTTCCATTTCTGATTGCAATGAAAAATTTAATTTTCAAAGATTTTGATTTATTTTCATTTTGATTTAGCTATTTTGTGTGACATTGCGTTGAAAATGAGCTGTGTTGTTTACCATCCCATTCATTTCGTGAGTGTAAGTATAGGTACCACACCTGAAACAGGTAAAAACATGTTGTTTTTTAAACAGTGCAATCTATTTCACAAAAGAACAACACACGTTATACTAAATATTTTACGATTCCATTTCAATGTATCCGATTACATCGATAAAACGAATTTTCACAAATTTCAATTTATTTTCATTTTGATTCAATTATTTTGTGTGACATTGCATTGGAACTGAGCTGTGTTGTTTACCATACCGTTCATTTCGTGAGTATAGTTTATTTTTTTTTTTCATTATTTTCATTTCATTTTTAACTGTTTTTCTTATATTTCAGTGATAGGAACATCAGATTAATTGACGTTCCTAATTTTATGACGGAAACATCAGATAATTTGGGAATGTATTGGACAAGGAAGTGGGGAATAGTGGGGAGTACAATGGGATGGGAGTGGGGGATGATGGGGAGAACGAGGAGACAGGGTAATGGTGGGGAGAAGGATGGGACGGGGGAGTTGGGGTTGGTGGGGAGAAGGATGGGACGGGGGAGTTGGGGTTGGTGGGGACGAGGGGACAGGGGAATGGAGAATGGTGGGGAGGACAATGGGACAGGGGATTAGGGGGATGGTGGGGAGGATGAGGGGATGGGGGAGGGGGAAATGATAGGGAGTACAAGGCGTCAGGAGAGTGGGGGATGATGGGGAGGACGATGGGACGTTGGAGTGGAGAACGGTTTGGAGGACGAGAGGACAGTGGAGTGGAGGATGGTGGGAAAGACAAAGTGATGGGGTGGGGAAGAATGGTGGGGAGTACAAGGAGATGGGGGAGTGGGGAATGGTTGGGAGGATGAGGGGACGTGGGAGTGAGGAATGGTTGGGAGGGCGAGGGAACAGGGGAATGAGGAATGGTGGGGAAGACTACGAGACAGGGAAAGGTTGTTGTGGCTCAGCAACGCACATGCTTTGCTGAGCCACAGCAACGTGTGGCCGGGTACAGCTATTTAATTAATATGAAGCAAGTAGTAAAAGAGATTTTGCAGAATCCATCAGTGGATAGGATTAAGACCTTAACTAAATCAGTGTGTATTTGTACGAAAAAAATCCTAGAGCTAGAAGTGGCACCCAGAATGACTAAAGCTAAATTACTGAGAATAATTTTTATGCCTCTAATGGAAGATGGTTTATTAAGTGATGAGGTATTAGAAGAATAAATACCCTGACGAGTTTGAGAATACTGCCAGACTGATAAGGCAGGAGTTAAAACTTCAGCTAAAGCAAGTTGAGTTAGAAAGGTTTAAGTGTGTAGAAGAAACTAAACAAAGAGGAGAAGAAACTAAACAAAGAGAAGAAGAAACTAAACAAAGAGAAGAAAAAACTAAACAAAGAGAAGAAGAAACTAAACAAAGTGAAGAAGAAACTAAACAAAGTGAAGAAGAAACTAAACAAAGTGAAGAAGAAACTAAACAAAGTGAAGAAGAAACTAAACAAAGTGAAGAAGAAACTAAACAAAGTGAAGAAAAAACTAAGCAAAGAGAAGAAGAAACTAAACAAAGTGAAGAAGAAACTAAACAAAGTGAAGAAGAAACTAAACAAAGTGAAGAAGAAACTAAACAAAGTGAAGAAAAAACTAAGCAAAGAGAAGAAGAAACTAAACAAAGTGAAGAAGAAACTAAACAAAGTGAAGAAGAAACTAAACAAAGAGAAGAAGAAACTAAACAAAGTGAAGAAGAAACTAAACAAAGTGAAGAAGAAACTAAACAAAGAGAAGAAGAAACTAAACAAAGAGAAGAAGAAACTAAACAAAGAGAAGAAGAAACTAAACAAAGAAAAGCCGACTTAGAGCTAGTTAGACTCAGAGGAGAAGAGGAAACTAAGCTGAAAAAAATAGAGTTAGAGACAGTTAAAATTAAACAGCAGATGGCTGAGGCGCAGATTAGGCTTAAGAAGAAAAAGCTAGAAACTGCAGCTGCTTCTAGTAGTAAGGGGTCTAAGGGAATTTCTAGTAGTAGAAACAGTAGTGGACTTTATTTCCCTAAGGGATTGATTTACCCAAACTTTATGAGAGGGACCGCGAATTGTTTTTCTTACATTTTTCAAACCTAGCTGCTAGTTTAAAATGGCCAGAGGATTCTTGGGTGACCATTATGCAAGGTCAGTTGTGCGGGAAGGCACAAGAGATTTTCACCTCACTCCCTTTCGAAGACATCTTTCATTACCCCACAATTAAAAAGAGGATCTTGCAAGCGTATGAACTCAATGAAGAGGCATTAAGACAAAAGTTTTCAGGTCTCAAGCGTGCACCTGCTCAGACAGTTACAGATTTTTCTCGAGTAAAAAAGTAAATTTTTAACAGGTGCTTAAATAGAAATAATACTCATGATTTTTTGTCCCTTAAGCAGTTGATCCTAGTAGAAGAACTGTTGTCTTGTTTCCCTGTAAAGTTCACCATGGCACTAGCCATAGGTAAATGTTCCTACAAGGATGTTTATGATTTAGCTAACGAGGTAACTCTAGGCACACAGCCTTACACTATTAAATTGTATATTTATATATATAACCTCTGGCACGAACTTATAATATAAATGACATGTAAATATAAATGTCCTTGTCACAGTAATCTCTTCATCAAACCACAGGTGCAATCACACACCATATATATATCCCGTGAGAGCTCCATAGCATCTCCCTTCACAACTGTGTCTTACTAGAAACATAGACATTGGTGAGCCCTGCTCACGACATAGAAGATACTCTGGCTAATCGCTAACTAAAGGGGAATGGGAGGGAAAACTGAATTCCCTACTTCCGCCATAAATGATGTGGACTCGTCCTCTGTTGAGGGTTGAATTGAAGTTCCTGGTCCTGGCTCACGACTTGCTGTAGGGAACACCCCCACACACACTGATGCTCTTCCCAGGACCTCAACCAACACCCAAAAAGCGCATCTTCTTCGTACTGCTTCTCTCTGCAGGCTCCGTGCTCCTCCACAACCTCTTGAAAGGTTGGAGTCGGTCTCCTGGCCGTCGCCTCCTCCTCACAACTACGTCTGCAGTCCTTACTCCCGGCTGCAGTCGTTCGTATTCCCAACCAGTTTATTCTTCATCTTCCTCACGGTGAACTGGCCCAGCCGCTACGTCATCACCCGACTGGTGAAACTGTACAGTCGTCCCTGACGTCACTGCCCAGGCATTACTCTTGCTAAGCACCTGTCACTGGAGCACTTGTTGCTCGTTTCCCGTCAATTCCTTCTTCTGTCCACCTCACGGAGTTCAGGAAGACCTCACAGGATGCTCGCAGACCACTGGTGATGCGTATATTCACCGAAGAGGGGCGAATACTGTCAGACTGACAGGACCCCCTTATCGCACATACGCCCTTGACGACGTGTCGTATCTAACTCCTGGCGCCACGGGGGCGCATGGCCTGAACCTACCTCCACTCGTGATGTCACACTTGCCAGGGGCGTTTCTCATTGGTTCCTTGTACCACGTCATTGTTCTTGGCCAATCTGGTGCCACTGACGTCATAACATTTTGGCGCGAAAACGTAGGAGTCGGCGCCATCTTGGCGTCCAAAAGGGCCTAAGCCACTGGCCAAAACACTCTTCTTTAGTTAATTTCTCTCCTATACGAGTACACCTCATGCTCCCACATATGTCAAATTGTTCTCTGGAAGGCAGAGAACGTTCGGGTAAAGTAGATATGACTCTTTCAGCTGGCGTGGGAGAAATATAAGGGGGGGGGGGCGGAACACCGTCACTGTGTTAGGAAATTCTTGTCTATAACATCTACTAAATTTGCTCCTTACGTTTCGTCCCCTCCATGGAGGATTTCTTGATTCCCAATTTATCTCTCCATGATTTAGGTCCCCCATGACCAGCAGTTTCGCTCTCAATCTGTGTGCTAATGTTGCTGCCTTCTGCAGTTCATCTATGCATGCCTTGTGGTTGTCATCATACTCCTGCCAGCGTCTCCTACTGTTTGGTGGGGGATTGTAGATTACCAAGATCACAATCTTCCTCCAATCTGCTGTCAGAGTTCCAAGTATGGAGCTTATGCTCTCATTGGTAACCCGATTTCCCAGGTCTTCAAACTTCCATTTCCGCTCTATTTGGAGTGCCACTCCCCCTCCCTGTCTCTGTCCTGTCTTTCCTTATCACCTGGGAGCCCTCTGGAAAGATTGCATCCGAGATCATGTCATTTATTTTAGTTTCCACTATTGCAACTATGTCAGAATCTGCCTCACTAACTCTTTCTCTTATCTGTTCTGCTTTATTAGAAACCCTATCAGCATTGGTGTACTAAACCTTGTGATTCTTTATGAAAACTCTAGGACCAGAGTTTGCCCTTTCTCTGGGGGTCTGGGGGGATCTGGGGGGTGAATGGGGGCTGGGCAGATCCACGGGGGTCTCTGGGGGGGGGGTGAATGAAGTCTGGAGGGGTGCTTGGGGGGCGAATAGGGGCTGGGCATCTAGGGAGGTAGGTAGGAATGTCTGGGGTAGGGCCTGGGTAGGTAGGCCTGAAGTAGGAAGGGCATACTGGGTCTGAAGATTTGCGAGGGTCTGAGAGGCATAGGGGAGTTGAGAGGTAGCATGAGGTTGAGAGTCAGTTATGGGTTGACAGGTTGAGGTGGAGAAGGATAGAGGGGGTGGAAGCAAGAGGGAAGGACAGAGCATGGATAGTGAGAGTGGGAGAGAGGTTGTATTAGTCAGCGGGAACTCAGGGGGTAGGTGTGGGCATTGGGGCAGAAAAGGGGAAAAGGGAAATAGAGGAAGAGTGGGGTCCCCCCGTGGGTCCATATGAACTACTTGCAAAGGGAGGGGGTCACATGGAAGGAGAGCGGCTGGGGAGGGGAGAGGTCTGGGTGGGTTTTGGGGGTTGAGGGGATGAGGGCTGGTTGGGGTTTGGGGGATGAGGGGTTCCTTGGAATGTGGGATGAAGCAGATGGAATTGAATGCAATGGGATCAGAGGGGTCATGGGGAGTGTTGGGGAGATAAGCAGGGGCAGGGGATGGGAGGGCTAATTTGGAGGGAGGGTGTGACTTGGGAAGCAGGTGTGGGCTGGTTAGCACGGGGTGGGTAACTTCGCCCGAATGGGAAGAGATGTGTCGTGGAGGTAGGCTTGCCCTGTGGGCAATAAGTTCATATTTTGTCATGTATATGTCAATATACACGTTATAATAGTTTTTGCTACCTCTGAGTAAATGTTTGTGTCGCAGTATGTAATCCATTGGTGTGGAGTTTTCAGACGCAAATATGCTTGGGGACCATTCAAGCTTGTTTGCATTTGTGTTGCTCATGTGGCCCAACAAAAGTGAGGTGATTTCATGAAATAGCTATGCCCAAGATCACCATCAAAGTGCCATCGGTGTGGTGGTTCAAATAGCCTCGGCTATCACCACTCTTTGTGTGGTCACTGATGGTCAAGTGATTTAAGCCACTGTGACATCAGTTGCAATATACACCTCGCGGTCTGGGTACAAGTCAATTCTGGGGTGTGCAGTTTTCAGACCCATATGCTTGGGGACCATTCAAGCTTGTTCCCAATTGTGTTGCTCACGTGGCCCCACAAAAATGAGGAGATTTGATGAAATAACTATGCCAAGATTGCCATCAAAGAGCCTTCGGGGTGGTGGTTCAAATAGCCTCGGCTATAACAACTTTTTGTACGGACATTGATGGTCGAGTGGCTTACATAGGGAAGAGCTGGCTCAATCTCTCTTGAAAGAGATTACCGCCACAAAATATATATGGCCTTCTCGGCCTTGCATAGTAGGCCGAGAAGTGCGTTCTGCCTACTAGGTACGACATATATATATATATATATATATATGTCGTACCTAGTAGCCAGAACTCACTTCTCAGCCTACTATTCAAGGCACGATTTGCCTAATAAGCCAAGTTTTCCTGAATTAATATATTTACTATAATTTTTTTCTTATGAAATGATAAAGCAACCCTTTTCTCTATGTATGAGTTCAATTTTTTTTTATTGGATTTAAAATTAACGTAGATATATGACCGAACCTAACCAACCCTACCTAACCTAACCTAACCTATATTTATAGGTAAGGTTAGGTTAGGTAGCCAAAAAAAGCTAGGTTAGGTTAGGTTAGGTAGGTTAGGTAGACGAAAAAACATTAATTCATGAAAACTTGGCTTATTAGGCAAATCGGGCCTTGAATAGTAGGCTGAGAAGTGCGTTCTGGCTATTAGGTACGAAATATATATATATATATATATATATATATATATATATATATATATATATATATATATATATGTCGTACCTAGTAGCCAGAACGCACTTCTCAGCCTACTATTCAAGGCCCAATTTGCCTAATAAGCCAAGTTTTCATGAATTAATTGTTTTTCGACTACCTAACCTACCTAACCTAACCTAACCTAACTTTTTCGGCTACCTAACCTAACCTAACCTATAAAGATAGGTTAGGTTAGGTTAGGTAGGGATGGTTAGGTTCGGTCATATAACTACGTTAATTTTAACTGCAATAAAAAAATTGACCTCATACATAATGAAATGGGGTAGCTTTATCATTTCATAAGAAAAAAATTAGAGAAAATATATTAATTCATGAAAACTTGGCTTATTAGGCAAATCGGGCCTTGAATAGTAGGCTGAGAAGTGCGTTCTGGCTACTAGGTACGACATATATATATATGTATATATATATATATATATATATATATATATATATATATATGTCGTACCTAGTAGCCAGAACGCACTTCTCGGCCTACTATGCAAGGCCCGATTTGCCTAATAACCCAAGTTTTCCTGAATTAATATATTTTCTCTAAGTTTTTTCTTCTGAAATGATAAAGCTACCCATTTCATTATGTATGAGGTCAATTTTTTTTATTGGAGTTAAAATTAACGTAGATATATGACCGAACCTAACCAACCCTACCTAACCTAACCTAACCTATCTTTATAGGTTAGGTTAGGTTAGGTAGCCTAAAAAGTTAGGTTAGGTTAGGTTAAGTAGGTTAGGTAGTCGAAAAACAATTAATTCATGAAAACATGGCTTATTAGGCAAATCGGGCCTTGCATAGTAGGCAGAGAAGTGCGTTCTGGCTACTAGGTACGACATATATATATATAAATATATATATATATATATATATATATATATATATATATATATATATATATATATATATGCGAACAAGCCTGAATGGTCCCCAGGACAATATGCAACTGAAAACTCACAATATATAATGGGGTGTGAGTTTTCAGTTATATATATATATATATATATATATATATATATATATATATATATATATATATATATATGTCGTACCTAGTAGCCAGAACT